CACATAAAATAAAAAATTTATATCTTTATGTTTGAAGCCTGAAATGTGGCAAAAGGTTGAAAAGTTCAAGGGGGCCGAATACTTTCGCAAGGCACTGTATCTCTTAGCTAGCAATGACCTTCAGAGTCCAGCAGTGGACAGCAGTGTGAAAAGTGGAGAAAGCTCTACCTAGCCCTTGTTGAGACCTCTACAGGGGGTATGAGTGCAAAGCAGACACTTAGGTGGTCGGGTGTACTGACCTAGATGGGTATGTGCCATAAGATCTGCCAGCACGGAGGCTGCGGCGGTGGTGGTGACGAGGGACCTCCCTCCGGGGTGGGATGAGGTGGAGGAGGCAGAGGATGAGGTGGAGGAGCCCTGGATAACCCTGTTAAACCAGTGCTCTACGTTGGGGTGGACCTGGTAAGGAGTTGATGATGCAATCCGGCCTTGTCGACGCAGGGATCCCTCGTCTTCGGAAGCCGATGAGGTGTCTGTGTGGTCAAAATAATAATTATAATACTAGTAGCAATAAGCCTGATGTGAGAAATTATTGTAAAAATGTAATGCAAATGTGATGCATACAATGAAAATAAAGATGGAAGCAACTAAAACTGTCAGGTGTATTATGAAGAGGAAATAAACAGGGTTTTGGCAGCACTTAATGGAAGGACCTCTCCCATTTGGTAGAAGGATCTTCACATCTCATTTTGAAGCACTTTTTGGGTTTCTGTTAATATGCGAGACTAAAGTGATAAAGGGTTCTTTCTGTCTCAGCAAAATGGGATGGCCTGGCAAACTCTGAAACATGTTTCGATTTAAGACTTTTAACCAATTAAGAGCCACATGGCAGCACAGTCAAATCACAGTTACAGTTCAATTAATATATGGGCTGCAGGAATGAGTGCCGTTTTTGTTCAAGATGACTCGTGTTTCAACAGTTAAACCAAATGCCTCTTTTTCTACAGGCAGAAGGTGAAATTGATTGTGTAACATTTTGATCAACAAAAGTATGTCAAAAATCAATAGTGAAGTCACAAATTGCTTTAATTATCATTTTTCTAAGAAAACCACAAATGTTTACCACAGCAATGCTGTAATAATTTAGGACAAAATGTTTTTGATTTATAATATGCTGTTTTAGTGTGTTTCCTGGACATACAGAGTATATATAATATCTTAACATTCCCTACCCCCCACCCACAATATTACTAAGGTGTCTTTATCATGTAAATTCATGCAGAAACTGGTTATTGTTATGACTATAATGTCCAGCTGCTTGAAGCAGCTGTCAGCAGTGGTGTAGCAGGATTTTATAGTTGGGGTGGCAGGAACACCAACATAAAACAGTGATCTCAAGGTTGTTGCACGCCAAAAAAAAATAAAATTTCATGAAAGTCAGGAGTGTCACTATTTGACAAAACAATTTAAATGCAGAACTTTGGAGCCATATATAAATAACATGGCATATCATATATCACAGCAGAAAACCAGTGCAACCAACTAAATACAACAAACACACTTTCATACAGATATACCACCTGATTTTCTTTTGGAGATAACTAATATAATAAAATGCATGTGGATTACACTATACTAAGTTAAGTCCATGACACATTTCATTGAAAATGTCGATATTACAATTGTTAGGAACAGAAGCAGTTGCATTTGTATGTGAAATACTTTTGGAAAGTAACCTTTTGCCACAACAACAAAGCTTTATGCTACTTACTGGACTGGGCAAATATGTGCTTGATGAAGTCTGCCCTTAACAAGAGTAGTATCAAAAGTCCCATGTATTAGTTTATAAAGTCCTAATTAGGACGAATGGGAGAAAAAAAGTCCTACGTATGATATTTTGAATATATCGGATATCTATGTACTATCTACAATAGAAAGTATATGGTATATACTAACATTGATATACTATATAGTATAAAAATGCAACTCACAAATATGTAAGAAATTATCCCGTGAATAAATAAAAGTGCATATATATAATTATAAAACCATGAACATAAACACAGCAGCTGCATTTTTTTTTCATTGTGAAATTGCTAAGATTGAATCTGTGTAGCAAAACTGTACATCCAAGCACATCACTCGTACAACACACATACAATACTTGGCAATAAACAGCTGAATTCTAATAACATTCACCATTGTATAAAAGGTTACAACTTTTACAAATTACAAAAGATACCAATTTTAAAACAAAGCTGGAACATTCCATAGCATAAGTCATTAATCCTATTTAAAACCTGTGTGCAAGATCATGGTGTGTCCAGCAGGCAGTTAGATTACTTGTTGTCTTTAGATTACTGAGGGTAGAAAGATAAAACAAGCACCAGGGGGCTCTTTTACAAAGTAAAATTGCTCATCCAGATAACTTCAGTAAATATATTGATGTAGCGGCGAGGCTTATTAATAAGGCAGAATTAAGTGTTTCTGAGCTTTCCCAAATTAGGCCTCATCTCTCTGTTCATCTCTGTGGTGCAGCCACAGAGAAACTATTCATGCAGGCTGATTTAAGGTTTCCTTTGATAAGGTTTCCTAGGACAGCTCCCAAAGGGGGATGCACTTAGCTAAGCCTGGCTATCATGATCAATGGTCATCCATTGGCGCCTATCTGTCTAGGGAGTGCCAGATGGACATCTGGACTGCATTCCTAAGTGTCAGGAGTAAGTGACTCATATCTCACCTTGATCAACCAATCAGGGACTGGTAGGGCCGAGTAACCCACGTGGGACTCTGATGCCCATGGAACTTTCAGCCAATCAACGAGCTGAAGTTCCTCCAGGTAAAAACAGGCAACACAGAGAGCCTGAGAGATTCAGAGGGATTCGGTGGAGACTTCTGTGGACTTTTCTAAAGGGAATTCAAAGGAGAATTCCAGGGCAGGACGGCCCAGGAGCAGAAGGCTCCCAAGGGCAGGACATTCTCGCAGCGCGCCTCCTGACCATCCTGAGACTCAGCCCGGACAACCACGGAACGGCCAGTGTGTCCGAGTGCCAGAACTTTCCTTTGTTCTAAGAGTCTAGAGTGGAGGTTGCCAGAGAGTAACCAGCAGCAGGCCTCGTGAACAGGTCGAACTGTGGACAGCTGAATTACTATTCAGAACTAGCTCTTCATCAGGAACGAACCGGTCCTCTTCCTGACTTGCTGGGACCCACAGTCATCTTTTCTCCTGTGCACAAACTTTGCTAGTTAAAGCCAACACTAAGCATCAGCAGCGCACCATCGCAAGCCGCACAGCACAGCCTGGCACCGAGCCAGAGAGCGCGGATTGGACAGCAACAGCCTGCAAACAAGTGCAACTGTTTCTTTGTGCCCGCAGGAGATCTGAATCCCCAGAGATTGGATGAGTATTCAGCTTCACTGCATTACAGCTCGAGAATTCAATAGTTATCCCAACCAGTTGATATCAATTTAATTCCTAAGAGTTATGTACTTGTTTTGAGTATCTAATGTAGAAGTTATAACCAAGTTCATTTACGAAACGGTCTAAATGAATGATATACTGAACGTATGTCCTCTTGATATATGTAACTCTTTGTAACTGACTGTATACCTTTTGTATTCTGATAACCCTTTCGATAAGATCTGTTAGGTTTATATGCATATTTTATGTATTAATAAATGTATCCTCATGTATTAGTACCTGTGTGTGTGCGTTGTTTGAGTTATGTCGCATGGTTGGATTCTAAAGCCATCAAAAGAATCAATTTTGTGATTTACTGCTACAATTAATAATTGTCCCAGTAAATGCCCAAACCCTACAGAACTGGTGCCTTCAGAGAGCACACTACATTACATTGACAAAAGTATAGATTTTTGGTTTCACAAAGCAACTTTGCATTTTATTCAACACAGCTGACTGCAGTTCACGGCCATCGCATTAAAAACTACCAATACATTTTGTATGCATTTCATACCTTTGCATTAACCCTTCATTAACATTGGAAATGCTCTCATCTCTGTGACATGGGCTGCCTTTGCAATCACTGGAAAATACATTTAGCCAATTGCTAAAAATTACTGAATAATGAAAGGTGTAAAAAGAAGATGAAGATGATATTTAGCTGGTAGCACAGTACGTGATCTCTCACGGCCTAAGGACCAGTGAGCCTGTCTCTTATTAATGTCTTTGTGTTGTATGTTATACGTAAATGTCCTTACCCTATAGGTAAATGTGCTCTAGGTATGATTGTCCTGTAAATGTCTGTAGGTGTTGTGTTGATTGAATATGCTTTGACATTGTAATTCATATTTTATGTCAATAAAGCTTGTTGAATTTAACTGATACAAACATATCATGGTGTGAAGTATTAATGATCAATATTGTTGGGTACACTTCGGATAGTTAATATGCAATGTGCTTTCCCAGTCTTTCCAGGGTGTGGCTTAAGTCTCCTGCCCCTCTTCTTCAGTTTAATATTCTCAGTATAGTGATGCTATAGTTTGAGACTTTACCATGTGCATGGCAGCAGCTATGGGCTTAAGAGATTGTGAATTTAAAGTGAGTATTTAACATATTGCGATATATAAAATTAATAAAAGTCAATATAATATGCATACTATTATTGAGAAAATAGTTTATTTAGTTATGATTTCAATTATAAAAAAGTATATTATGTTAGCTTTAAAAACATATCTTACTTAAAATTACATTAACAGGTGCAATAAAAACAAAAACATTTTGAGTAATTATTTGAATGAATGCTTCGCATACTATAAGGTGCATTTGTAATGAGTTGATGAGTTACAAATCATCAACTCATTACATTACCTTGCACAGGCTGGTAATGTTGTTAAATCTCCACTACAAGCTTGCAGTACTCTTAACGTGAAATGAAAGCTCTGAAAAAACAGTTGTTTTCTTTTTCAAATGTTTTAGAAAAATATTTTTTAAAAAAGGGTTTCCTTCTGCACGCACCAATGACAACCACCCATCAATGGTGAAGCTGGGCAGAACCTGCAGGACGTCACTACAGCCAGGCAGCATTGAATTCATGACATAGACACCACCATCACAGCATAAAGAGCTTTTGATTTGTGACTCTTCATGTATCAAGGATTATAAAAGAGTGCAGCCCATCCCCAGTTCAACCCATTTGTGAGGGGGCAAAGCAACCACCAGCACATGACATGCTCCATTAATTGTTATATCAGAAAAATTAAGCTGAAATAGCTGCTTCATGAGAAAGCTCTTCAACAATTTTGTGAAGCCAAATTATTATAAAAGTATAATTTTATGAACTACTAAGAAGAAACAAAGGCAGAAAAAAAACACATACATAAAACCTTTAGACTATAATTATACAAATATACATAGTGGCTCTAAAATTTTACTATTTAAAAGCACATATACATGGAAAAATCTCATGTATATTAAAATATTTAAGGGTATCTTAACATTCCCTTACTCTCTCTGAGCAACATGTTGGTCTGGACTGTTGGTCTGGAGTTTTCTACATGTTATTACTTCATTTAT